CACAGGCTGCGAATATCAGTTTTGTTTTTCGGGGATATGTGCCTACCCGGTTGACCTGACCTTGACCCTGACCTATGCTTGACTGACCCCTACATGGAGCTGACACTCTTGTAGGCCTTATATGATGGATTGTGCACCGTTTTGACAGAGTTTATGACGAGAGGCGCCCATTGCGAAGTCCTGAAGTCAATGCTACTGAAAGCCCGATTTCAGGTGTTTGACCTGACCTTGACCCGACCTGTGAACTCAAAATTCAACTTTAAAGTAGTCATCGGAAGCGTCTCGTCGCGTTCTTTCGTTTGCCGCCTCGTGCGTTTCGCTGCGCCTATTGGTTCTCCAGTTATCGGCTGGGGGCGTTTAACGCCCCCCCCCCCCCCCCCAGCAAACGGTGGGTGGCGAAATACCCCAGCAACTGCCGGGTTAACCCGCGCCCTGCTGGGGGGGGGGTGTTTGAACACCCCCCCTTGTGGTTTTTCGCGAATATCTCAAAAACGGCGGCGCGGAGCGCCGCCGTTTTTGGTACACCTTATCATACATCAATTCTACACATGTTGTTAAAATTTCAGACCAAGGTCATTCAAGGTCAGGTCACCAGGTCACTTGAAGTGACCTCGCCTCATAAAAAGTTTCAATGTCTGTCATAGCTACACCGAGTGACCGATCGCTTTGAAACTTTCAGCGATTGCTAAGAGCAATAGCATGTACAAAATGTATATCTCAGAATTTTGATATCGATGACCTAAGGTCAGGTCAATTTTGCGACCTCCCCATTATAAGTCAATGGGAGAAAATTGAAATGCGCCTCTTTTGGACAAAAGACATTATAAACACTCCCAAACACCGAATTACAAGTGGTTTAGACACACTGAACATGAAAATGGTGTCCGTGACCCTTGTTTATGCCCTGAGGTCATCTTAGGTCACGAATGGTATCTAACAGTTTTTCGCAAATAACTTTTGATAGAGGCATGCTAGAGCGATGAAAACGCCTTAGATGTGTTCAGCTCGACGATACAGATCGACTGATATGCAACATGACCCTTTCCGGTCAGGTCATGACCTTGACCTGAGGTCAAATTTTCAAGTTGACCTTTCAAGGTCAACTTATAGTTCATTCGATGCGTCTTGACGAGAGGAACACAATGCCGGTAAAAGTAAGCTCGTACAAGGCTTGGGTCAAAAGTTATTGCAGAAAAACTGTTTCCGAAAAAATCAGCTATTTTTGCAGTTTTTGCCCCCTGCAGGCAAAGCCGTTGACATTAGGTCAAATCTGAGGGAATTACTCAGAAAGGGCTTTAATAGGGCTATCGAATGCGCTTTTCCGCGGCGCTGTAGCTCTATTGGTTCTCGAGTTATGCGTTGGCTTCTTGGAAATTGTCGACATTCGACCTGGAAATCGGCGAAATTTTGCCTTCAATGACCTCTGGTGACCTGACCTTTGACCTGACCAAAAAATTGACCGAAGTGATTTCGTCATTATTTTTGACGCTCTTTCGAACGCCGCCTTCCGCGTATCGCTACGTGGCCCAGGAGCCGAGTTACAAGGGGGGTGTTCAAACACCCCCCCCCCCCCCAGCAGGGCGTGGAAATCCAGGACCCCCAGCCGGGCGCGGGTTAAGAAGGTACCAAAACTACTTCGTGAATGTTCAAATGGCTGCTAAATTCGAATTCAGCTAAAAATACTAGCCTAGAAACATGTAAAACTCGAAAAACTGAACCGAGGTCACCAAAGGTCATTGACCTGACCTGACCTTCAGGTGACCTTGCATGGGAGCAACGTCAAATCACATGTTTGAACGTTTGAAACCACGAAAAGCTTGCAAACGCGCGGCTAATGCGAGCCGAATCGCGATTCCGGCCAAACATGGTCTCGGAAAAGAGGTCACAGGTCAAAGGTCATTTGGGTCAGGGTCATGAAATTTTTAGGTTAGGTGTAGAATTGATCAATGCGAGGTTACTGAAAGTTTCGTCGCGATCGGCCGCTGTTTACGCGAGATATTCGCGAAAAACCTTAGGGGGAGGGGTTGCATCAACCCCTCCCCCTGGACTGACCTGACCCGACCTGGTTCCCTGTGCCGGCGAGGGTTAAAAATGGGCAGCAGCGGCTTCCTATAGTCACGGGTAATACGCTCGCTTTTTATGCACAGCTCCATCTCAGAGTCCAAGACGCCGCGGGGGTCCGATCGACTCCTCCCCCCTACGTTAGCGGCTGTGGAAACGCCAACAGACGGGCGACGGTTAAAAATTGCAGCTGCTTTTGTACGACTGTATACGGAGCCACGGTGAGATGGTGAGGCGAGCAGCTACGTGAAAATTGGTATCTAATCAATGTGTGCTGTGCCTTTGACCTGGGCTAATCTTTGAACCCTGGGATGCAACAGTCACGATGGTTCCATCAATGGAGCCCCTTACTCTAAAAAGATAGGCTTTCTCAGAATCCCTCATTACCCCCACCGAAAGGGCTCCATTACCCCCAAAGGGGGCATGCCCCACCATTTGCCGACCCCTGCCTTAGATCATCGATATCATCGATATCAAAATTCCGAGATAAACAAATTGTAGCTACTAATGACCTTATAACATCCTGTGACTTTCAAAGGCCTCCGACATCTACTGTAGCTCAAGCAGTAAGCACGGTGACAAAGTTGCAAAAAAGTGACTTGAGGTTGGGTCATTCAAAGTGACCTGGTGACCTGACCTTAATATTTAGGAGGTTCAAACTTGCACACCATGTGTAAAATTGATGAGAGCATAGTCATATCAAATTTTGCGGCACTACGCGCCGCGGTTTTCCCGCTATCTACGAAAAACCTCAGGGGGGGGGGCGGATATCTGCCCCCCCCCCCCTCGGTGCACGGGTTAAGATATTATCATTTTGTAGAGGTTGGGCAAAACCTGACCACTACTGGGGCATTCCTTGACTCTACTGGGGCATTTGCCCCAGTAGTTAACATGTTAGCCGAGGCCCTGATGTATGGTCATCAAATGTCAATTTATTGACCAATTTTTGGATATTCGCCTCGTAGTTTCCCCAACTGACTTGGGAAATTTGGTATCTAATAGCACATTGTGACACCTAACCCAGGAGTGGCGCATTTCAAATAAAGAACGTTGTTGCTACCTATGTTTTTTTTAAGAGGATAATGAAAAATTTCGAGAACATTAAATTTTGGGACTTAAAGTCGTCTAGTTTTTTAAACGAGTACTACATTGTACCAGGGATATAATCAAATTGTTTCCACTGTATTTTATAAATATGTTAAAATGCCTCGAAATTTATGATAAGAAAAACAACTTAATAGTCCAGCAATCTGCAAATTGCGTTGCCTGCTGAGCTCGGGCTGTGTTACCCGACAGTTGGTGTTACCCCGAAAAATGTAGACATTTACTAAACGTGGAATAATGCAATTATGAACGACACCACAATAGAACAATTGGTTGATATGTATGTAAAGTTGATGTGACAATCCAATGAAACTGAGATTGATCATTTGGCCAAAAATGATGTGACTAGAACCTAAAAGGTTAAGGGGGTCAGTGTTACCCCATCTTCCCCTACACAACAAACCATTTATAAGTGCACAGCTGAATACACACGAAAAAATGTTAAAACCTTGCATGCTCAATCTAGCACAGCCATACCTATCAGTTGGGGAAACTATGAGGAGCCAAACAAAAATTGGATTAGCCAATCAACGGCTGGAGTGGGCGGGGCGATGACCATATATGGTCATAAAATCAGACAACTTAAAGGGACCCTCCCACCTTCAAAAATGTTAATGAATTGGCATGAAAGTGATGTCGCTCGGTTCAGAAAGAGCGAAAACGAATATCTACCAAATTTCATCGAAAAATATTCACTGGTTTTCAAGATATTAGACTTTTAATTTTGTTTACTTTTTGGGATCTCCGCTAGTCCTAGCGACTTTATTTGAAAGTGCGGCATTTGTTGCGCGCAAAGCAGCATATACCACCGCGTGCTACCAAACGTTTTAGTAAAGATTTAAAAATCGTTAGATCTCCGCTGACGTCACAAATTCTAAGGGGGCATACCAATGCATTAGCCCCTTAGAATCCGAAAACTGCAAGTTTGAAATTCCATATCTCCGAATTAAAGCATTTTTCGATGTTGTGAGTGCCCAAACCGGTATTTTCAGGCCATGGCCACCAATTTGGCTATCTCAACTCAAAACTAATGTTAAGGTGGGAGGGTCCCTTTAACCTTTCCAATGCATCCTAGCATTCAAATGAAAAAATAAGGCATAAGAATGTTTTTTAACCACACAAGGCTCACACTCACTCCGTGCACAATTAACTGGCGGCTCTAAATCGAAGAGTTACAACACAAGGTCAATCAGTGATTGGCAAATATGGCGGATTGAAACAGCGCGCCAAAAAATGTAAACAGTACGGTGGTTTAAAAATGTCATTATTTTTATTATTTTGTTTATGGTTTTTCTAATTGTAGTTAAGTTATTATTTTAAAATTAAATATCTTTGTTTATTGTAATTAAATTAAATCTTTTAACAATTTTCTTTCGAAAACACCAATCCATTTATTGAATGGCCAGCTGATTGTGACGCTCAGAACCTGCAGAAAAGCCGTTTTTCCTATCGCCATTTTCGAGTCAATTCGCCAAATTTAATCAAATCACGCTAATTCCTAGTGGAAAATGGAAGCCTTTTCTCTCCGATAAGTGGACGCGATACCACAAGTACCGGCTTGTTATACCGTTTTTCACCCTTAGCAGCGGGGGCTGCATTTATGCCCATATATGGTCATCAAAAGTCCATTTATTGACACAATCAATTTTTTATTTTCGCCTCGTAGTTTCCCCAACTGATATTACTTCAAAACATCATCATTTAAAAATCATCTATAGACAGTCCTGGCGCAGGTCTGATCAGAGAAAAGCAAGCTTCAAAAGTTGGCATAAATCAATATCGAATGCTTCTGTGCATCTCACCCAAAGTAAATTTAGTTGGGAGCAAATACGAACCTCTGGAGGATCTTCAAGGTTTCTCAGGTCTGAGTCGTCATTCATCCCCATGCTTCTTCAACCTCACACCCGGTGACTAAGAAATGCAGAGAACAGCCCAGGAACCTATATATGGACGCCGGTGAAAACAGGGCGCCGGAGGGCAAATTAGTCACGTGACATTTTGAGCTTCTCCCCCTCCATGGGCCTTCTACATGCTAAATGTCACGTGTGAATTTCACGAACCTTGATCAAATCGCCCCAGGCGCCCTGTTTTCACCGTCGCCCCTATATTCGCCTCGTGACACCGGGTGCAGTTATTTTTTTACATCTTAGTTTTCGTTTACGCGTTTTTAGACGTTTTCGGCGCACTATTGTTGAAGTTATACAGGCCTATTTTACAGCTATTTTTGATTCACAAAACTGCTGCAATTTTTAGAACTTTTTTGCATATCGACATTTTGATGGAATTGGAATGCATTAAAAGATGTTTATTCTTAAATCTTGAATGCCAATATAATAACAATGTGAATCGAGCCACGCTCGTAGCGAAATATTACGAATCAATGATAATAACAGTAACCGGCAGAAAATATGTAGTTACCGCGATTGTGTAAGATAATACTATATATTCCGCGTGAAATTGACAGGAGATACCACAAGAATAATAGCCTAAACAAATATTGAAATAACTGTAAGCTCATAATACCCGCTTAGCACTGCTAACGCTGACCATTTTCTTCAAACATTAAATGCTTACCATACCATAACATCTGAAGATGATGAACTTGAACCTCAAAAAGCGAGTTGTCCAGTTTCAGTCTCAGTTTGTGCGGTACTGGGATACATTTATTATCAGTGAATCAAATAAAAATTGTCCGGGGCATCATGCTGTGATTATATGAACCAGTTAATATGTATAAAATCTAGTTATTGGCCAAACGTAACGGCCACGGACCGTAGGTTGACGACCCCGAAATTTAGCGAAATTAAGTATAGGTTCAAGCTGCAAGCAGTTTAAATAATGCTGGTGCGTGGAGTTGAACAGTGATGTAAATGTGGCCACAGTCTACAAACACGATAACAAATATCGATTGCGCTTCGCTCAACCAGAGCCATGCTCGCTCTTGCTCATGAAACAGTGCATCCCCATAAAATGAAAAGTCTGAACGAATGCATTCAGGTTCCTACCTCTGAATCACCTTATATTGAGATCCGTTTCTTAACAGGAACACAAACGCGGCCCATCAATTTGTCAGTACTAAGGGAACAGCGTCTGACAAGTGACAACGCATCAAATGGCCAACTTCTGACACTATCTACCAATACGGTAACGGCAATAAAATTGCATTGCAAAATGCAACTAAAATTGCACCATTTCCAAGCGCAGCTTGAAACCAAGTGCGACCAGCTAGTGTCATTTTCACAACCAAGTGCGACCAGTTAGTGTCTCGAGACACATTCCAACTGCATAGGTACCGCAGTAACCCATTAGGGGCGAAAGGAAACACATGACTCGTGTACGACCAGCGTTCTGTCAGCGTACGACGCATAAAGCAAACTGCTGAAACAACTGCGATCCAGAACAACACAACACAGAGCTCCGAAACGAATGGTTTAAAAAAGTCTACGACTGACGACATCGAAACAGTACGTTCATCGGGACTAGTCACATGACTCGCTCAACCCAGCTGGGTTATGGGTACTAATTGCGCTTCAAATTGACCTCTGACAGCCATTTACTTACGCTAGTTTGATGCATAAAACTGTACATTGAAACTCAAGCGGCAGCACATAGGTCTCCATCAAGGTGGTTATATACAACAGAGCACCTCGCTAAAACGAGCGCGAACCGCACTGTCACACTGACAGTTAACACTGAGCCGCGAGTCGTGACAGTCGCACTGCGTCATATGCACGCAGATGTCGCACTCACGGCACCGTTGCTGGCACTGCGCTGCGGGTGGACACGCGCGGTGCAGTAGCTCCACGGTGTGCGGCTCACCGGAGGGATTACCAGTCTCCGACCGGACAGTCCAGGCGGGAAATGCGGTGTCTTCAATCATGACCGCCGTCCCCGTCTCCGCGGAGTGCCGCACGGCGGCGACGCAGCGGCGTCGGATCTTGAGCTGGTGGACACTGGACTCCTGCCAGAGCTACCAGCTTCAGCCCTTCAGCATCCTGTCATCAGCAAACTCCAGCAGAGCTCCAATGCAACTGCGAAAATAAAATTTATGCTGTTAAGCTAAATCATGCAAAACATTTCCTTGCACAGGATTCTCTTTCGCAATTCAGCAAAATCTTCTGTGATATCCATGGCCGTGACAGGAGGACTTGATGCCATTGTAAAAAAAAATATAGGTTCATTGGTTCTCATTTACCCACATCGAGCCTCTATAGGTACCATTCATTTGTATATCATGAGGTATGTTAACTACACAATATTTATGCAATAGACTAACATGGTCAGAAAGTAGAAGTTCAAACAATCTTACAAACTACACCAGAGAAAGTCTTTGAATTAGGTACAAAATTATGCCACAGAAATAAAAACAATGCAGTTTTGTAGAGCATTTCCCAAAAGATAATTGTGATTCAGCCTTACTCCCATTCTGAGATTGAATTAATACAAATTATGAGGTGATAGTTACTAAAAAGCAGTTGTTTTTTTTTAGAAAACAGCTTCAATCCATGTTTGCCTGATTTCAAACTCAAGGCAACATCTCATAGCTTTGACAGCATGAAATTTCATTATTGAGGTTACGATTTCCATAATCTTGTCACAAACAGTTCACTTTAATATGGATAACTAACACCATATCAGTCAACCTTGTATCTTTATCTGGTGAAACTCAAGAAACCAATAAAGCAAACAATTTCTGAGCAAAACATTTAGGTATTTGACAAGCTCGACTACTGCCATGTAGCCTAATGCTCGTTGATTACAGATTAAATACCATACAGTTACTTTTCAAATATAAATTTGGTAGTTCATTATATAATGAAATACCCAGCTCAATAGAGGCAATTATGATAATGACAGCATGTACGCAAAGTAAAAATAAAATCAAATATTTCTTCTACAGAAAAAAAAGCACTTGTACCCACTCAACTGTATTTTACTACATCACTTATTTGAATTATCAGTCATCACCAGACTTGCAAAAAACTTTCTAGATATTATGCCACAAAAAATAAACAAAGTATCTGAAATTGCACAATATAAGCAACAGCCACTGGAGCGGTATGATGGGGTCTCGTAACTTGAACGTTCAGTCTGTAAGAGCATGCCTGACTTGACTTTACGGCTTTGAGGCATCACCTTTGCTGCAGCTCCTCCTATTCTTTTTTAACATAAACTTAAACTATCATTACCATGCTATGATGATGAGGTGGCTGGTTTCGGGCGCATGAAAAGTAGCAGCCCTTCTTTCTTTCTATTTCCTTGTTTTCATATGCTGCACAAATGTTTTTTCTTCCACGTTCCTTCTTTCATTATAAAAAATAATAGGCATCATAATTGCTTCACTTCTTCTTTATATTCCAAGTACCTATTGCTGCTGCAATTCATCACATCTCATGATCATGATCTCCCGTTAGTAAACCATTGCCCTATGGCCGCTAAAGTAAATAAGTGGAATGCGCCAGAAATTGTCGAAATCGCGCCAAAATAGCAAACTAAGATGAGAAAAAATAACCGCACCCGTGACGTCTATCAATTCAGCAGCAACGAATATCAGCCTCACAGCAGCATATTTCGGGGTCTTTTGATTTGGCTGAAAATCGGTATACAGGGCCTCCTCGATGCGCTGATTCCGAAAATGTACCTCTTTGGGGTGGTATTTTGCACCGTTAACGAGTTAACGGCCATTTAACATTTTAACGGGAAACGGCGGGGTCTTTCGATTTGGCTGAAAATCGTTATACAGGGCCTTCTCGATGCGCTGATTCCGAAAAGGTACCTCTTTGGGGTGGTATTTTGCACCGTTAACGAGTTAACGGCCAGTTAACATTTTAACGGGAAACAGCGGGGTCTTTCGATTTGGCTGAAAATCGGTGTACAGGGCCTTCTCGATGCGCTGATTCCGAAAATGTACCTCTTTGGGGTGGTATTTTGCACCGTTAACGAGTTAACGACCAATTAACATTTTAACGGGAAACGGCGGGGTCTTTCGATTTGGCTGAAAATCAGTATACAGGGCCTTCTCGATGCGCTGATTCCGAAAATGTATCTATTGGGGTGGTATTTCGCACCGTTAACGAGTTATTGATCCGTTAACATTTAAGCAGCATATATCGATTTCAGCAGCAAACTTTCGGGGTCTTTCGATTTGGCTGAAAATCGGTATACAGGGCCTCCTCGATGCGCTGATTCCAAAAATGTACCTCTTTGGGGTGGTATTTTGCACCGTTAACGAGTTAACGACCAATTAACATTTTAACGGGAAACAGCGGGGTCTTTCGATTTGGCTGAAAATCGGTATACAGGGCCTCCTCGATGCGCTGATTCCGAAAATGTACCTCTTTGGGGTGGTATTTTGCACCGTTAACGAGTTAACGACCAATTAACATTTTAATGAGAAACGGCGGGGTCTTTCGATTTCGCTAAAAATCGGTATACAGGGCCTCCTTGATGCGCTGAATCCGAAAATGTACCTCTTTGGTGTGGTATTTTGCACCGTTAACGAGTTAACGACCAATTAACATTTTAACGGGAAACAGCGGGTTCTTTCGCTTTGGCTTAAAATTGGTATACAGGGCCTCCTCGATGCGCTGATTCCGAAAATGTACCTCTTTGGGGTGGTATTTTGCACCGTTAACGAGTTAACGGCCAGTTAACATTTTAACGGGAAACAGCGGGGTCTTTCGATTTGGCTGAAAATCGGTGTCCAGGGCCTTGGCTAAAAATCAGTATACATACAGGGCCTTCTCGATGCGCTGATTTCGAAAATGTGCCTCTTTGAGGTGGTATTTTGCATCGTTAACGAGTTAACGATCCGTTAACATTTCAGCAGCATATATCGATTTCAGCAGCAAATTTTCGGGGTCTTTCGATTTGGCTTAAAATCGGTGTACGGGGTCTCCTCGATGCGCTGATTCCGAAAATGTACCTCTTTGGGGTGGTATTTTGCACCGTTAACGAGTTAACGACCAATTAACATTTTAACGGGAAACGGCGGGGTCTTTCGATTTGGCTGAAAATCGGTATACAGGGCCTCCTCGATGCGCTGATTCCGAAAATGTACCTCTTTGGGGTGGTATTTTGCACCGTTAACGAGTTAACGACCAATTAACATTTTAACGAGAAACGGCGGGGTCTTTCGATTTGGCTAAAAATCGGTATACAGGGCCTCCTTGATGCGCTGAATCCGAAAATGTACCTCTTTGGGGTGGTATTTTGCACCGTTAACGAGTTAACGACCAATTAACATTTTAACGGGAAACAGCGGGGTCTTTCGATTTGGCTGAAAATCGGTATACAGGGCCTCCTCGATGCGTTGATTCCGAAAATGTACCTCTTTGGGGTGGTATTTTGCACCGTTAACGAGTTAACGGCCAGTTAACATTTTAACGGGAAACAGCGGGGTCTTTCGATTTGGCTGAAAATCGGTGTCCAGGGCCTTTTCGATGCGCTGATTCCGAAAATGTGCCTCTTTGGGGTGGTATTTTGCACCGTTAACGAGTTAACGACCAATTAACATTTTAACGGGAAACGGCGGGGTCTTTCGATTTGGCTGAAAGTCAGTATACTGGGCCTTCTCGATGCGCTGATTTCGGAAATGTGCCTCTTTGAGGTGGTTTTTTGCATCGTTAACGAGTTAATGATCCGTTAACATTTCAGCAGCATATATCGATTTCAGCAGCAAATTTTCGGGGTCTTTCGATTTGGCTTAAAATCGGTGTACAGGGTCTCTTCGATGCGCTGATTCCGAAAAGGTACCTTTTTGGGGTGGTATTTTGCACCGTTAATGAGTTAACGACCAATTAACATTTTAACGGGAAACGGCGGGGTCTTTCGATTTGGCTAAAAATCGGTACACAGGGCCTCCTCGATGCGCTGATTCCGAAAATGTACCTCTTTGGGGTGGTATTTTGCACCGTTAACGAGTTAACGACCAATTAACATTTTAACGGGAAACGGCCGGGTCTTTCGATTTGGCTGAAAATCGGTATACAGCGCCTCCTTGATGCGCTGATTCCGAAAGTGTGCCTCTTTGGGGTGGTATTTTGCACCGTTAACGAGTTAACGACCAATTAACATTTTAACGGGAAACGGCGGGGTCTTTCGATTTGGCTACAAATCGGTATACAGGGCCTCATCGATGCGCTGATTCCGAAATGTACCTCTTTGGGGTGGTATTTTGCACCGTTAACGAGTTAACGACCAATTAGCATTTTAACGGGAAACAGCGGGGTCTTTTGATTTGGCTGAAAATCGGTATACAGGGCCTCCTCGATGCGCTGATTCCGAAAATGTACCTCTTTGGGGTGGTATTTTGCACCGTTAACGAGTCAAAGGCCAGTTAACATTTTAACGGGAAACAGCGGGGTCTTTCGATTTGGCTGGAAATCGGTGTCCAGGGCCTTCTTGATGCGCTGATTCCGAAAATGTACCTCTTTGGGGTGGTATTTTGCACCGTTAACGAGTTACCGACCAATTAACATTTAAACGGGAAACGGCGGGGTCTTTCGATTTGGCTGAAAATCAGTATACAGGGCCTTCTCGATGCGCTGATTTCGACAATGTGCCTCTTTGAGGTGGTATTTTGCATCGTTAACGAGTTAACGATCCGCTAACATTTCAGCAGCATATATCGATTTCAGCAGCAAATTTTCGGGGTCTTTCGATTTGGCTTAAAATCGGTGTACAGGATCTCTTCGATGCGCTCATTCCGAAAAGGTACCTCTTTGGGGTGGTATTTTGCACCGTTAACGAGTTAACCCGCGCCCCGTTGGGCTCTGCCGAGCAACGTGCCCCGTTGGGGGGGCCATTTTGCCCCCCCCCCCTAAGATCTCGAGAACCACGCAACCTAGCGACAAGCGGCAAACGGTGTTGGATAGCCCTATCAGGGAACTACCTTGTGACCCAATTTTATTGACCTAGGTCAAACCGATGACGTCACAGGTCAGGTCAAAGGTCCAATTTTCACCGTTTACAGGCATTTCAAGAAATGCGTTGTAAAATCGAGTAAAATGCATTTCATTGAAAATCATCGATGGGGAAATGTTCTTCAAACACATATTTTGCTATTTGAGGTCACTGATACCAGGTCAGGTCACAGAGGTCAGGTCACTGGGGGGTCACAATATGTAAATGTCGTGTGATACATGTTTTATGGCCCATTTTACATGACAAATGCGATTATGTGGGTCGGGCAGCCTTTGGGGCCAGCTTCGGTCACGTTTTGGTCAATGTCAGGTCAAGGTCAGGTCAAGGTCAGGTCAAATTAGGTCAA